GATATAGCTGGGCTCACATCAACGCATAGCATGGAGTCTGAAGTTAAAAATCTTAGCAAGTTACCGAGGAAGAGATTTTCATCCATCAAGTCTGCAGTGACTGACAGTAAAGCGGTCCAGATAACTGGTCAAACAAATTAAATTAACTGGTCGAAACAATCTGACCAGTGATTCTTATTAAATCCTTATAACGTTTCACTAGAAGATTTAAAAATCATCAAGAAAGCCGTTAGTTTCAGCTTGTAAAGGATGCCTTACTGATCTTTGAGATTTACGAGTTACTGTCACGTCATTTAGGTCACATGCACTTTGTGGCCCTCTTTCCTGTCAGTGGCTTCTCTGTGTAACTGATTTGTCTGCCTCAGCTGGTCATAAAAGTCACCCCATTTTTCACATGTCTAAATATGGACTCGGTTCCATTTAATGCGTAACCTTTTTCCATATTTACTCCGCTTTGTCTTTTGGGACTCACTTTTATGTGCATGTGCGAGCGCCTTTGAGTTCGAGTCTGATGGGGGTGATGAGAGAGCGAGGAACGCAAGTAAAGAGACATATTTGTTTAATTACCTGCAAGTGGGATTTCATGTGCTGTTTATAGGTCTAATCTAAGAGCTGAGGCCTCTGGTTTGTTGGCAGTGACATAGTGTTTGTGTAAAAGCACAGTTTGTCCGTATCAGCATGTATATTTCAGTGTGTGTGTGTGTGTGTGTGTGTGAAGGAGAACAAGGGGCAGAGAGCAAGTACAAGGACCATTTTAGACAGTCTCCTCTATCACTTCCAGTTAAACAATTTACCACTTTAGCTCTTTAACTGGCTAACAGACAGAGGCTTTGTTATGAAGCTGTCAGCTGGGCCTTGACTCCATGATTTTTCTCTGAAACTATCACTATGTCATTTTTGTTGCTCTTTAAATCCCTCTTTGCACATTAAAACAGAATCAGTCTCCACTATTTGCCACTATTTATGCACCAGTCTGTTTTTCTATCACTTTGTCTCACCTTTGCACCTTTTACCCACTCTGTCATAAATATTGTTCTTTAAAAACATACAAACATACAAAGCATGTTTATCAACCGATGATATGACAGGACGTAGAATCTGGCCTAGGTTATTCTGTCGTGCCATTTCAGATCATCAGAGGGATCTTACATTGCATCCCAAAACTACATGCTTCCCAAACTTCCAAGGTATTTTATCTTGATTGTAAAAACTATTTGATATAAAATAAAATAATATAAAAACTTAATTGTCATTTTATAAAATAACCTATAAAACACTGAACTACTTTATAGTTATAGCTTTAAAAGATGCCTAATGTTTTGTTAAGTAAAATATATAATATGTTAAGTAATTAAGTAATATAAAAAAAAATTTAACAGGAATAATTTCAAATCTACATATTTCACATATTTGCAATTAGAATGGGATTATTATTCCATGAAGGTGTCGGAGGGGTTTTAAAATAGACTGAAGGACCAGACCAGAATGAAAACCCACTTGGAACTAACCTGGTTTATCTTTAGCCAGTGGCCAGTTCTCGTCTGAGATTGTATTCCTAAATGTTGATACAAGTTTCTCCAATCATGGGACAAAATCAAACACTCTGTTATCACACTTTAGTTTTTCAGGAATTTTATCACATACTTTCATAATGTGGAATCCTTCTTCTCTCTTGTTATCAGTCACTGAGCTCTGGACTATCAGGAAAATCCTTTACCTTCACTTCTATCACATTCTGGATGAAATCAGATCAGATCTTGTGCTTGCGGTATGAAAACAGTGGAGTTAGTCATTTCTCAGTAGTTACCAGTGGACAACAACAAACCACAGACTTTGTACAGTAGTACATGAGTGATGAAATTACACAACGACAGACTGTGATATGCTGATGAATCAATATGTAATGATTAGGTCTTGGATATGTGAATCAGCCTGCCCATCACTTTCTCGATGAATCACTCCTGGTGAACCGTCTAATCATTACTTCCTCATTTTATACATATTTATTGTTATAGACTGAAGACTGACTGAGGTAACATTTCAAATACAGGCCTTCACAGCCACACCTCTCCCCAGTCATGTGCCTCTCAGGATCACTGCATCTAAATTTGGGTCGACCGAGAATGAATGTCCCATGTCTAAGTTTCCATCAAATACAGTCTATTTCTGCCCTAAAATGGACGACACGTTTCCTTTGTACCCTCAGTATTCCCTGATGGTATGCTGGTTAGTTGTTCAGTGAAGTTTGGCATCTTTGACAAATCACAAAAATAGGAAATATCATGGGGTGACGCTACATTTTTGTTTTCCATTCAAGTGGTCATTAATCACAGCTAAATAAATTATATCAACCTTCATAAAGCTGCAGGTTTGCTGTTTGCAGAGATGGAGCCAAGACTGCGCAGAGTCAGGATGGACTTTGGCGGACCACATGCAGTTGTTTGGGATTCGTTATAATTTCTGAGACATTCAAAACTTAATTCATGACAGACAGGTGGTG